AGCACTTGTGATTCAATAGGTACTTCATGATCATGAATTGTGAGTGTAAATATTATTCTAATTTTGATATAGTTACCACGGAATGTGTACAGAATCTATGCAATGGTGGTGATTGTCAGTATCATGCAGGTAGCTACATATGTACGTGTCTGTCTGGATTGACTGGAGATTTTTGTGAAGAAAATAGTGAGAATGAATTTATTTTAAACATTTGTTATCATTACCAATAATTACAGTTCCTACTACAACCCCAGCTCCTACTACAACCCGAGTTCCTACTACAACAGTTGATGCTACTGATACTGCTAATATTGGTTTAGCTGTTGGATTGACTGTTGGGCTATTGATTCCTCTTGTCATTGTGACAATGGTTTTTGTCATTGTTTTGGTACTTGTTATCCTTCGAAGTAAAAGAAATAAAAAGGAAAGTGAGAGAAAATATACGGATCAACAAGAAATGAAACAGGTACCAGAAAATGTGTACAACTAATAGTAGATAACTATAACTCTTGCTGCCATTAGTTAATTTAGTTAGTTGCTTCACTGATACTCTTTTATATGCTGTTTTTTAGTTTTATGCCATTTTTTAGTTTCTTTTTGTGAATTATTTTGTAGCTATCAGATTTATATAATTATCACAACACAAAAAATGAAATAGAAAATGATTCATTTATATGTCATAAAAGATTTAGGAACTTCCTTTTTATCTACAAAAATACATTAATAAATAAATTAATGAATATAAAATAATATTAAAATTAAATACCTTCTTGCCAGAGCATGTCATGTGAGCATTGGTCTCTTTAATGATCAATGTAATCTTGTAATACCATCTTCTCAATTTACCTCTTCTGGTGACTTTTAAAATAACCAGTATTAAAAGATTCTGAGAGAAAGAAATATAATGATTTTACAATAATTACGCGTAACTTGGGCAAAATAAATTAATTTGTGCTTCACAGTTTTTTTCCTGACAAAGTAAAAACTAAAAGGGAACATTTTAAATTAGAATTGATAACCCTGCTTGCTGTAAGGAGTAAGGAGGAGAAGAAGAGAATATAAAAGAGAGCACAAAGCCTAGCAGAAAGAAAGGAAAGAGCAAAGGAGGAAAAACGAGGGAGCACGTTGCTATAATACAAATAAAGTAAACACAAGGTGTTCTAAGGTTTGCTTTTACTTCTGGAGCATCTGTCTGAAAGTGGTGATGAGATTGATGGGGACAACGATGATGATGATGCCTTCTCGTGTTAAACCATAGAAGAAGACTAAAACAATAAAAGGTAAATTCAACTTTCATCGTTTCTTTTAAGCAACGGAAACTGTTTAAAGTTCAAGTACAATTCCTTGCTGATACGACTATTAAATGTGTTGCCTCCAAACATCTGTTTAAAGAGGTCAAACTCAAAGTCAATGGTAAAATGCTAGCTATGATTGATGGTGTGGTTAGGTCTATTGGATAGTGTTAGTGATTTGGATTGTACCTTTATTAATAGATCCAGTGTATTATTAACATGGACAGCTCCTTATACACTGGATAATGTACCTATTACTGGATACTATATAGTCAATGGATTAGTGAACATTACTACTCCTAATAATAATACTAATATTACACTATCAACTACTAATCCTGATCCTTGTGCATTGAATAATGTATCAGTTTCTCCTATTAATCATGTTGGAATAGGTTCATCAATTTATATTGTAAAGCAGGTTAGTCCTACTATGGCTTTATGTACATGTATATGTTCACAGTATTATCTTTCAGTTCCTCTCATTACTCCTCCTGTATCAGTTGTACCAATTATTGATGAACAACAAACATCATTAAATATCACTATTTCTGTAAGTACCGTATATTCATTAAGCCTATCACACAGTAGTAAACAGGAAATGCATGCATAGCAAATGAATATTGTTTGCAAAACTTTAATTCAACTGATTATTGTAACTGAAAGTACTTCAATATCTAATGTTAATACATTTATTGTTAATGTATCATTGAGTAATAATGCAGAAAACTTTATTATTATATTATTTTTTGGATTTAGCATGTCATTTATATTTACTTTATATGAAGGCTTTCTTGGACAGGTTACTAACATTAATTCTTCAAAGAGGTATGCATAGAATAATTCATGCTTTTAAAAAATTATGAGCTAATCTAAAACTGTAGCTATATAGATCAATTTTGCCAGCCCATTGTTATTTTCACAACTTGGCATATTTTTTGAGCTAAATAAAAAAGTAATTAGAATTGGTACAAACTTTCTATGAAGCAGAGACATTTTTCAAATGTAATGTGTGAACAGAAGTATTACTTGTAGGCTAGAATATAATCATATTTTATTTTAAATGCAATTTACATCATTATTTGTAATTGCAATAAATCATATACAGAACTAGTAAAATGAAATTGCACCATGTTAGATTCAAGGATGCATGAATGGGCAGTGGGGACAGCCATGCAGCCACACCCTGACAATGAATAGTCTATTAATATCCTGTAGAGATGCTTGTTACACTTCTTTTTGGATTCTTTATAAGATGCTGTCTTGCAGAATATGTAACTCAGCCAGTATCATTGAATACAAGTCTCAATTCAACTGTCACCTTTACTTGTGAAGCAACTGGAGTGTCTTTTATATTCTTTTATGTTGGACAAATACCAGCATCTGAAGCTGTCAACGTTAACAGAGGATTTACTGAATTAAGTCAAGACACTATTAATGGAACTATAAGAAGAAGACAGCTATCAGTTCATGCAAGAGAAATTAATAATAATACTTATGTATGTTGTTTTGCTTCTCCTGGTGACATTAGAAGTGATAATGCTACACTAACAATACAAGGTATAGTAATGTATCAGTTTAATTGTGTCATTAGTCACTTTTTCAGGTCTATTGGATAGTGTTGGTGATCTGGGTTATACCTTTATTAATAGATCCAGTGTATTACTAACTTGGACAGCTCCTTATACACTGGATAATGTACCTATCACTGGATACTATATAGTCAATGGATTAGTGAACGTTACTACTACTAACAAGAGTATTATATTATCAGCTACTAATCCTGATCCTTGTATATTAAATAATGTATCAGTTTCTCCTATTAATGATGTTGGAATAGGGCTTCATGTATATGTTCACAGTGTATCTTTCAGTTCCTCTCATTACTCCTCCTGTATCAGTGGTACCAGTAATTGATGGTCAACTAATATCATTGAATATCAGTATTAATGTAAGTATATTCACCATAAGCTCATCACACAATGAGTAAACTAACAGGAAATGCATGCATAGCAAATTATTGTTTGTGTAACTTCAGTTCACCTTATTCACACACATACACATACAAACACTCACACATACACACACACACTCACTCTAGGTCAGTCTGTTATGCGTTGGTGAATATCCTAACATTATAATTGTTATCATACTAAATATTGATGATGAGATACAAGATAGTAACAGTATATCAACACAAGTTAATAATCAACTGATGATTACTGGAGTAATAACTGTACCTAATAATTTAAATACATTTATTGTTAATGTATCACTGAGTAATAATGGAGGAGAATATCTACCTACACCTTCTTTAGGATTTGGTAAAGCCTTATCCATTATTATTCTTTAATTTAATTCTTTTTCTCATTGTTAGGTTTTCTTGGACCAGTTACTAACATCGACTCTTCAATTGACAACTGTTCTACTATTGATATAACATGGACTGCTCCTACAGTTGATGATAGAGTATCTATACAGTATTATAATCTCAGTATATATGATGCTATTACTGGTAGTCTAGTGGATACTGTGTCAGTATATGATACCAGTTATCAGTTTGTGGATAATAATTTATTTATTCATCGTTATACATATGTTATAACTGGAGTTAATGAATTAGGAGAAGGAATATCTATTAATGATACATTCTCATATCAAAGAGGTACAATAAACAATAACTACCGACTAAATGATTTTATGTTTATTTAGTACCAAGATCATTTAGAGAAGCTGGTTTAAGTATAATAGCATTTAATAAGACTAGTGCTACTGCTTCCTTCAATGTACCAGTAATATCATGTTCTTAATTTATAATCATTATTTTGATAACAGGTTACATTAGAGTGTACTGGTGAAGCTCCTGGGAATATTATAATTATTATACAGTGTAATGAAACTGGTGTTATATATGATAGTACTACACCAGTTAAGTATTCTCCTAAACTAATAAATATAACAGAATCAGTACCAGTGCCATTATATCAACAGTGTACTATCAGTATTGTATTTCGTAATGAGGCTGGTAGTAGTGAACCATTTATACTAGCATTTGGTAAGTATTTGGTAGTACTAGTATTCAGTATAAATGAGTTAATGTACATGAATTGCTCATCACATTATTATACAGACACTACTCCTACAATGAATCCTACACCATCTCCTACTATTACTCCATTACTTACTAGTACACCAGGTACAACTACATCTAGTACTGGTCAGTCATATAATACACTATATTATACTTTATATTCTTAATATAGCTATCATTGTACCAGTAGTAATATCACTGACTATTGTTGTATTAATAATAATAGCAGTGTGCATCACTGTGTTGGTATATGGCATGTATAAGAGAAACAAGAATAGTAAAATAATGTAATACTTATTATTATTATCCATTATTGCAGGAGCTACATGTACCTTGTCTCAACACATAAGTACAGTTCCTAATGAAGCATATGAAGATGTTAATAAATTAAATATCAATGTTAATAAATTAAAAATTAATGTTAACCCAGCTTATGGTGAGATAAGAGGAACAACAACTGTACAGCAACAACATGTGATGTATGAAGAAATAAATTTTTAAAATTTAAAAAATTTAAATTTCTTGATTATGGCTGACTCTAATTTTACTGCCTTTTGGTGAGTTTAATATTTCTTATAACTTGAATGATGTTAAACATATGGGACAAGCACGAGTGAACTTTGTAAACATTGTATGCTATTAAAATTTTCAATTTGTTATTGACAAAAAATGAATGCAGCAAATTAATAAGTAAAAAGTACCATATGCGATAAGCCAAAAAAAACCATGGAATAATGAACACCAACACATACAACACCAAGTTATTAGTTGTCTCACATTAGTAGAGCTTCCTTTATGTCAAGAGTACTTCTAAACCCCATCATGTATTTTTGGTTGTTGGCCCATTTTTTTGAAAATTCATAACAAATCCAAATTTGATTGTAGTCAGCTGAAGGTTAATACATAACATAATTGAACATATTGCACATGTATTTCACTTTAATTTTTTCTCTGCACACATTATAAGAACCCTCACCTAATACATAATAATAGCTAGTACAGGTAAAACGGGTTTGACTGGTTTTGTTTATAATTAAATCTACTGCTTTATCTCTTGCTTCATATAGGTTATAGGTACTATATAGATATAACTGCTTTTAGCACAATTTTTATATGATGTGATACAATAGTCGCTTTTAATTGTTATAAAATGTCTTACAATGTATGTCATTCATCACTATGAGTAATAATAAT